AATATAGATCCTTGAAGCTTCGTAGGTTACTTACAAATGTTGTAAATTAATTTGGAATTTTTTGAATATACAGAAGAAGAAATATTCTAAAAATTGTGCGTTTAGAATGTCCAATTTTTTTAAATTTCAGGAAAAGGGCTTAGAAATTTTAATTTTGCCCTAAATCTTAAATAATATACAACTTTAAAGCTTGGTAGGTTACTCAAAATCATTCTAAGTTAATTTGGAATTTTTTGTATATACAGAAAAGGAACAATTCTTAAAATTGTGTGTTCATAGCTTCCAATTTTTTTAAATAAGAGGAAAAGTGCTTAGAAATTTTTATTTTGTCCTAAATCTTAAATAACATAGATCCTTCAAGCTTCCTAGGTCACTCAGAATCATTCTAAATTAATTTGAAACCTTTTGAACACGCAGAAGAAGAAAAATTCTAAAAACTGTCTGTTTATAGCTTTCAGTTTTTTTTTAAAGTAGAGGAGAAGTGCGTAGAAATTTGTATTTTTTCAAAATTCTTAAATAATACAGATCCTCGAAGCTCCGTAGGTTACTTAGAAGTATTCTAAATTAATTTGGAATTTGTTCAATACACAGCATGAAGAAAAATTCTAAAATTTATTAAAGATAGAAACACAGAGAGTAAAGAAACAATACAGTTTCTGCATGCTTCTTAGATCCCGCTGCGCGATTCCACGTCACCGATATATCTCGCTCTCGGCGCGCATAAAATTTATACAAAGTCGAGCAATATGTTTAACCTTAGCGAAGAGTATTTCGTGGGCTAGGAATAGCGCGTTTGTTTTCACCGTGACGCAACGATCGGTTCCAGCATCCGGTCCAGCAGGTTCGACACAATGCGACCGTCGAAAATATCTTCCGCGCCTATAAACTCGCGTTCGATAAAAGTGCGTTCTATCGCGGAAACGTGTTCCATTAAACTCGTGCCTCTTCGAATGAAATAAAAGCCTCGCTGACTCCGCTGCGTGTCGAGTGAGATTGAAAATGAATTTTTTACCGGTGAAACTCTCTTCGAAAAAGGAAAAAAATGGAAATGAAAAATAACTCTGTTTCAAACTGAAATTTGCAAATTTTTAGTTTCAC